ATATTTTAATATAAGGTGGAGATGGTAAATTTGAATCTGTGCTGCTATACACAGCTGCTTGTTTCAATGGACATGGAGTTTCACGCCATAGATAACGAAGGCCATAGATTGTTTGTGAAATACATGAACTTGGAATTGTTAATGTTATACTTAAACTATTTTTGGATGAAGCTGGTGCTGCTACCCATAAATTATCATTTGAACATGATGCACCTTGACAACAAACCTTTGAAATACATAATTATATATTTTAAAATAATGAAATAGTTGTTTTTACTTCAAAACCAGCTGTATTACGTAATTCAATAGCAGTTACATTGGAATAAGTAATATCAATAGTAGCACTATCACTTGCTACAACAACAGATGATACAATGGGTCCTAAAAATTCAACATTTTGTTTATACCAAACGGCAAGACCAGCACGAGATAAACGATAACCAACATCTTCTTTTGTACGTGGATGAATACTAAAAGGTTGAAAATTATAAATTTTCTTCAATCTATTCTATCATATTTACCCTCCATCATCATCACGTAAATCCATTGCAGCAGCCATAAATACATTTGGTACAACACTGTTTGGTACATAACCAACATCAAAAGTTTGATGCCATCGAATCCATGGAAAACCACCAACAACCGTACCACTTCTATCATCTGTTGATAACTATAAATAATTAAAATAAATAAATTTTGTTTCTTAAAACTAAATCTTATTAATTAATATACTTGAACAAATCCAAAAGGAAAATTTGGATCTGTAAGACCTCCTGTACGTGTACTCCATATTTGTCGCCAGTATTGAATCATTTTTGCTTGCATACATGAATATTTATCACGATTACTATACGCATTTGATTCTCCTATGTAAAAATAAATGAAATAAAGTATTTAAACTAAATTTTCTAATGATTTTTACCTTGATACCAAATAGCTCCTGTAATAACCATTCTTGTAAATGGATGAATCATTGAATTATACAATTGTGAATTTCTTAATACTTTTTCTTCAAAATTAGGTTGTCCATAAGGTTGAAGAGGAATTTTTTGTCTATTAAATAAACACCTTGTTAAAAATCAATTATAATATTCTTATATAATACTGACCTAAAAACACCACAGTCGCTTAAAGCTGGTGGTGGCATCCAGAGTTCAATAGCTGTTCCACCCCATGATGTAGCAATAAGTCCAATTGGTCTATTATTTAAAGCAGTATGTATCATACGACCAAAATACCAACAAGTTGCTGATGCATAGGCATATGATGGACCTCCCACACTACTTGGTCCTCCTACTGACCAATTTTGTGTTATTTGAAGAAGTTCTTCAGTTGGTGTGCTTGAATCTCTTAATGAAGCTGTAAATAATCGTACTTTTGGATAGTTCACTGCATTAGCAATTTCTGTTGCAGCATTAAATGAATCAATAACAGCCATTTGCATATTAGATTGTCCTGAACATATCCAAACATCACCATAGAGAACATTATTTAATGCAATTGATACTACTGAGCCATTAGCCACAGGTTGAGTAACAATAACTTCAAAAGGACCTTCTTCAGTTTCAGGATCAAGAGTAACAGACCAAATACTGTCACCTAATTTATTTGCTGGTTCACTACGACTTATTGTATGATAGATTTTATTATTAAGCGATAGTGTTGTAAGAGCGTTTGTATCACCATAACCCCAGACAACAGCACGTTGTGGTGCTCGTTGTAATACCATATTATCTTGGAAATAATTAGCAAAACGAAGTGCTCCATGACCTTGAAGAGACAAGGTTTTTTATATTGACTTTTATAAAGAAACCTTTACTTACTTGTAATAATACATAAACTCAATAGCAAAAAGGCTTTTCGAAATGCCATGAATAAGTCTTACTTTTTTTTAAATATTTATGATTGTCTCCTTTGTAGAACTTAAGACTATATAAATAAATTACTGACAGTAGGTGTGTAAATGTAGTCTATTTATACGTCTCTATTCTTATCATACAAAATACTTTTATCATTTTTTTTGAAATTTTAATAAACACATATCTAAGATAAACCTTTTATTATTATCTTTTACTGTAAACATTTCTTTCTCTTACAACTATTTTTAAAAGTAAAATTATTTCAGTATAACACAAGATGCAAAGATATGAAAATATCATCGACAAATAATAAACTTCTGCCGTGTCTCGGAAGTACCAAATATTAAAATCATATCTTTTTTTTCTTTTAATTTAACATCTGTTTTCAATAAATTATGTCATACATTCAAAATCATATATACTTAATCAGTTTTAAATCTTGATACTCGATTCGAGTCATTACATTTTTTTTTCTGTTCTTTTTCAAAATTTACATCTATTTTATAACCATTGAAAACAACAGAATGATTAATAATCTTTACTCTATCAAGACTACCTTGAATTATATTACTTAAAAGAATATACTTTTTCTTTTTATATGCATTTTAAATACACCGAGAGAGAGGAAAAAGAAACAAGATGATACAGTGTGATTAAATGAACGAATGAAATATGTAACCACTATTCCTTCTTTTCATTCTCATATATAGAAAGGATGACAAAATAGTATTTAATTTCTTTTTTTGTCGCTGAAGCGGTCGGTCGTTACTATCGAAGAAGATAAAATATTTTTCATGAACAATTAAACAAAACATATTCATCATAGTAGGACATTTTTTGTTTTGATTTATTTAATTGAAAATATTTTTTTTTGGTAGTTAAAGATGCAATATAATCTGTCAATAATCTTAATCTTATTATTTATAATAAATACTACTGAATCATATGATTTTCATTATCATAATTATTCACAAATAACTGATCTTCTTCATACTGTCGCTGTTCGTTTTCCAACAAAAACAGCTTTATATGAAATAGGAAAAACTGAAGGAGGTAAAATAATATCAAAAAAAAAAATCTATATTTTTATTCGATTTTTGTTTTTGTAAAGGACGATCATTATGGGCTCTAGCAATAAGTGCATATTCTCCAGATCAACATGTTTTATTACGTCCTGAAGTAAAATATATTGCAAATATGCATGGAAATGAAGTAGTTGGCGTTGAATTATTATTATCTCTAATTGAATATCTTATAACATCAAATGATAATCAAGTTATAGAATTAATAAATTATTCTCGAATATGGATTATGCCATCAATGAATCCTGATGGTTTAGAATTAGCACAATATGGTGATTGTGTAACATATAATGGAAGGTAAAAATTTATATGAGTAAAAAATAAATTTTCTCATAAAGATTTTTCTTGTAGATTTACATTGAATGGTATTGATTTGAATCGAAATTTTCCTGATTATTTAGGTGCAGAACTTACACCACCATTTCGTGCTAAAGAAACAAGTGCAGTTATGTCTTGGCTAAATTCTGTCCCATTTGTTCTTTCAGCTAATTTCCATGGCGGTGCATTTATTGTTAATATTCCTTATGATCGTTATTGTAAATTATTTTGTTTTAAATTTTAAAAATCTAATTTTTTATTTTTAAGATATTGGAAAAGTATCAACTAGTTCGGATGATGATATATATCAAGTATTAGGACAATCTTATGCTAATCGAATAAGAGAAACCAATAAATTTTGTAATTTACAATTTGATAATGTTGGAACAGTAATACGTGGCGCTGATTGGTATGAAATTATTGGTAGTATGCAAGATTATGGTTACTTAAATTATGGTACCATTGAATTAACAATGGAAGTCTCATGTTGTAAATACCCCTATGATAATTTATTAATGTCATATTGGAATTATAATCGTAATGCTATGATTGAACTTTTATTTCAAGCACAACGAGGTGAAATTTTTCGAGATCTCTATATGTTTTTTTTAATAAAAAAGAAATTTCTTGTTTAGGAGTGAAAGGTTTAATACTTAATGAAAATTATCAACCTATTCCCTTAACACAAGTTATGATCGATGATAGACGACCTGTCGTTAATGTAACACCATTAGGAGAGTTTTGGAGAATATTATTACCTGGAACATATACGTTAAAGGTAAAGAAAATTTGTTTAGAAAGAATATAATTAAATGAAACTTTTAGGTATTTCATCGTGGATACGAAATTTATCGTCAACAAATATTAATTAAAAATATATATATGCCATTAAATTTAACAATTATTATACCTCAAATGGCATATCGTCATTACGCAAATCGACCAATTCAATTATTATCTCCATTTGTAACTAATTAAATTTATTCCTTATCAGTATCATATGTATTATTTTTTCTTTGCCTTATGTCATATATAATTCAATAAATAAGGAAATGTTTTTAAATCTTTCTTCTTCATTCTGTTTCACTTAACCAAGAGTAGGACCTGGAAGAACAATTCCTAGTTCACTTAAGTGTCCCAATAATTCTTGATTATTATAAATTTCTGTATAATCAAAGCAATGACCAAGAACATAGATATGTTGTGCACAACATGTTACTTGATCAGCAGGACAAGTGCGTTTTTGATACACTAAATATGTCTCAACACCATGTTCCACTTCAGACCAAGTTTCATCACACCAACGTGTACATCGACCCCATCCAAGAAATCCACAACCATCATAACCACATTTATGACGACCATGTTTTTGTACCTAAAAATGAAAAAAACAAAAATAATGTTTATTGTAATATTAAAATTATTTATATATACAGTATATGTTGTTTGTCTTGTGCGTGCTATTGCTTCGACGCCAGGATCAGTTCTACAACACCAATTTATATCTGTAACTAGTCCAGTATTTCTTGATGATGATGTTGATAGAAGAGTATTTACAATATTTTCTTGATCATTTTTTGATAATTGATCAATTTGATCTTGAAATGTAGTTGTAAATGAAGGACAAATAAGGTTAAAGAATAATACGATTGAAATAAAAATCATTTTGATGAAATCGAATGAAGATAATTTTCGTTTTTAATATTATACTAGACATTTTCGTTCTTTAAAGTAATAACACATGTCTTTTTTCACATCGGATCGAACGATATTTATTGATTATTCAATAGGTTAAAAACAAAATCAGCCGATATTATTTTTTTACTTAAGTTCATCTCATAAATTATTTAATATATATGTAGAATATTTTGTTTTTAACTTCTATTGATTAAATATTAATAAAACAGAATAAAAAATGCATTTCCATCTATTATATTTTATAGAAATAATATAAACGGAAAGAACGTTTTAGTGTACTTCCGTATGTAACCGATCATGTTAAGTTGTAATTTTCTTTAAACGAAACAGAAATTCTTCTATTCTTTTCTTCAATCGCTCTTTTTTGATTCAGCATTTTTTTTGCTTCATTCTACTGTTTCTCTCTCATTTTTTTTCTTCTTTTCTTGTTTTACTTGCATTTAAGCATAACAACATTATTTTGCCTGCCTTTTTTTCACCTATGTAAACAATAACAACAGCAACCGTTCTGTTTGATGGCATTATCGTTCATCACCAATTCAACAAAGGTGTCTGTCATTAGAAGTGTTTCTTTACCATTTGTCAGCACCAATAAATACAAAAACGGCGCATCAAACGCATCAACTAATAAATAGAGCGCTTCGAGAACAGGCAGACTCTCCTGTTTACGATGCGTCATCAAGCGGCCCAACTTTTTTACAACATCATACACACCATAAAGTAACATCATCACATCAACAATCAAATGATCATGATCATTTACCTCAAATAGCATCTCCTACAAATGCTGTATTTCGACATTATGGACCAAATGGGAATCCTGCTACGTACGGTTTTCATGTGAATAATGATAAATTTAAACCTCCTTCGAAATCTAAAAAAAAAAAAGAATATATTCCAAAAACAATGAATACAACAACAACAATAAAAATGCCAAAAAATGGTGAGCCTGTTACGTTAACTAGAGCGTCACCTCCTCCTCCTCCACCTCCATCTAAAAAGAAAACTTATCATGAAAATCATAGAAAGGTAATATTTAAATTATTTTATATAGCGAAAAAAATCAATATATTTTGTTTTTTGTTAGCCTCGTCAATTATGGTGGACACCGAAACGAAATCATATTGAAATACGTTCTGAAGATACTAGTTTTCATTATAATGCATCATCAAAAGTTGGATCTTTTGATAATATCGATTATCATCCGACTGGTGGTCACATATCGATACGTGATGAACCTATGCATTGGCGTGCAGCACCAAAAGTTGATTCCCTTTCAAATGCTAATTGGACATCAACGGCACCTCGTATTGCTGTACGATCAGAAAAACTTGAATGGGATGCTCGTCCTAAAGTTAATTCAATGATGAATTTAGATTATAAACCTACAGGTGGTAATGTAGCAATTCGCGATGATAGACTTGATCTAAGCCATGTTACACCACGTGTTGATTGTGGATTTATTGAATAATTGTATGTGATTTTTTTTTCTATCGAGAAATATATTTCAATTTTATATTAATTATATTCATTTTGTTTATATATATATACACACGATAAAAAAAGCACTACACTAAAATCTTTTTTTAAACAAATGAAAAACACTTTGAAGAGCGTTAAAAGAAAAATGTAATTATGGAAAAAATATTTTTTAAGTGTAATAGATGATATGTTTGAGAAAAAATTACTAAGAATATTACTATAATAAAGAAAAAAGGTCAATTGGCTTTTTGTTTCCATGTAGCAATCACTCCCATGCTTCTGTTTTTATTGCATAATACAATTTTCTATTTATTAACGTCATCAAATGAAAATCATGGTATATTTATTTATTTTTTTACACGTCATTTATAGAAATTTAATACATAGTTACAAAAGTAAACAATACAAAAAAAAACAATGTTAATGAAATTCATTGTAACTGCTCAACTCTTTTTTAAGTTAAGAATAAACCATTGATTATATTATAATAAGAACTATTCAAACAAGTACATACAACATTTAGAAGAAGTAAATTGATAAAGTCAGTAGTGAACTGTCATGTGTAAAAGTTCAACTGTAATCACGTTTCACATAAAGTTAATCTTCGCGGATATTGCTGAGTTCTTGTGCTTTATTATTGTATTTAACTAAAAATACAAAAGATTATTAAAAATATGCATCCCGAGGACTTTTTATGAATAAACTTAATATTATATCACGCTGATTTTTCAAAAAAAGGATGATATAAATATTTACTTGTTTGATTTGTACTTCGATGATTTCCAGTTTTTCTTCTAGAAAAAGTATTTCCACCTGATGCTAATGATCCCGATTGTTCGTTTACTAATGTTTGAACATTTTCTGGTAAACATTGGACAAGACCAATTCGCTTTATAAATTCTCTTAATATATGTTTGATTTCCGAACGAAATGTTCGACTCGCTAATGTGTAAATATAAAATCCTATTACTGGAATACAATAATTCAATAATCGAAATACATTAGCACAAAAATTATAAATAATTGTTCCAGTTGAACTTAATATAATGTTAGTACCGATTGCACTATATAAATTGATAGTGGTAAATGGAGTTGTACAAATAATTGTAAGAAGAACTTGAAATAAAAGCATTCTAATCATTTGACGATCTTTTGAACGTAAACGGTCAGTTCTTGTATTGTTTGTTTGTGGTGCAACTTGTCTTCGAAGTTTTCGAACATTAAAAATTGTTTGTAAACCAAAAATAATCATAAAGAATGGTGGTAAAAGAGAAGTGAAAACAAGTGTGAATATTGTAAAAAATAATTGATAATTTTTATCAAATATATTACATGTTAGTGTTCTACCAATAGGTGCAGATTGGAACCAAATAAGAACATGAAAATGGATTGATGCAATGAATATAATTATAAATATAGTTCCTTTTCGTGTTATGGATTTATTACTAAATTGACGATAACGAACAGTTCGGCAACTGGAAAGAAATCGATCAATACTTGCAAGAACTATGAACCATTGTGTCAGACACAATGAAACATAAGAGAAAAAAATACGTAATTTACATAGAATATTGTTTGTATTTGATGGATCGATTTGCCAACCACTGGAAAGAAGACGTGTAAGTAATGCTACATATAAAGCAAATATATTATTGATAGATAAAGCCAAAAAATAGATTGAACATGGATTCTTTCGTAAAGAACGACGACTGAAAATCAAAATATTGATAACATTACCAAATGTTCCAAGAATAATTTGTAATATAGGTACAATACGATTGAGATTAAGTGTTACAATAGATAATGTATACTTTAAATCACCATCCATGTCTTGTGTAGTTTTAACTCAGATAGTATAATCAACTTTAGTTAATGCACTAAGTTTATATTCTATTGAAATCAACAATAATATAATGCATGTAGATTTCTTTTATATTTGAAAAAGAAAATAACATCGAATTATTAATCAACAAGGATTGTGTCATGAATTTCATAATTACACAATGTAAAATTAACACGCGCACGTGTACCTGGAAAATATATGCATAGGTTATTAAAACATTTTTTCCTTACTGAAATGAACTTAATTTTGTATAGTTATATTAGATTTTCTTAATAATAGTGAAAAGATGATATAATTAATGTATTTGTAGAATAACTGCAGGAAGCTGCTCTATATAGAAACAGATAAGTAGAATAATAATATATGTAAGATTATTTTCATCACATGATACGATACAGATTAAAATGTTTTTAAAATGATTTATTAATTTCATGAATTTTTTTCCTATTGTGTAAATGAGTGGGTGTGCGCGTGGATGTGTGAGAATGATAGAATATAATTGTACAATACATACACCCTTACTATCTCATGGAACACCGAATAAATATGAACAAAAACTAATTTTTAAATGGAACGAGCGAGTTTATATATATATATTTAAGACAAAACAGAACATTTATGTTGGATACAAAGGTTAAGTTAAAAAGAAAATATAGTTTTTATTTCTTGATTAGTATATAATAAAGAGCCTTGGCTTAATAACAACTATCTTCACTTGACTGACTGTTGATTTCGGTAACACTTAATTGTTTTACATTATGCGTATCTTTTAAAGTACTAATACTTTCCGGTTTTTGAAGAGCTTCTTGATTGGGAGGAGATATAGGTTGAGTCTCTGGTAATTCACCGGATGATGAAGCTATAAAACAAAAAAAAATATATTCGATTGAGTCAATGAAAATATATCTCACTTGTTGCTTTCATATCAGTCGGTTGTTTGCCAACAAGATTTGTTTGATCGCATTGATTATCCATACAAAGATTTTTGCTACTGCTGAATAATATTGCCTCTATTCAAAATATTTTATTTAAATAAGAAAAAAAGAAAAGAATATTAAAAAACTGAGTATCATAAACTACCATAATAGGGACTAATTAAACATACTTTTTTCATCACTAGTATCCCTTGAAAAAACCAAAATTTCAGATGTCATTAAATCAGTAGTGGTCATTTTACCTTTCGAATAAAAAATATAAAACAAAAATTTTAATTGACTTATGTCGAAATATAATAGTTAACTTACGTATTCGATCTTCCATCACAATTGGTCGTGCATAATGCTCGTTATTATTTGTCACTTCAGAACATACACCTAAATAATAATATCAAATATTATCTAATAGAAAATGTTAGAACAAAAGTTATATACCATTATCTGTAGTTGAAACATTGACATTACTATTCTGGTTACTATCTGATGTTGCATCTTTATTAAAACGAACATTGTCATCTTGAGGGTGTGGGTGTGGGTGTGGGTGTGAGTGAGCGTGTGAATGTGGGTGTCACGGAAGTAGAAACACCCACACCCTCAAATAAACGTGATTATCGAAAAACTGGATTTGGGTAACTATTTTCATCTTGAAAATAAAATTCTTTGCATAAACCATTAGTTAGATTCTGATTAATGTTTACAGAAGCAGAAAAAAAATGGTCGAGCGATCTTAAAGACTACTATTATCTATGATAATTTACTTCTTAATGATTTATTACTGATCCAATTTTCGAATCGATATCAACTAATCACTAGTTATTCTATTTTGTTCCTTTGAAATAAAATAGCTTACAAAGCATTGATTTCGATCGATTTACTTGTACAATAGCGTCTTTTAGTTTTTCATTCTTATCTATTGACTGATCCGAGTGTTTAGTTGATAATAAACTATTAACATTTTCTTTTAATTTCTGATAATTTTCAAGTATCATATTTGAAAAGCTTTCTAATTCTTTTCGAATTTGCTCTTCATTAAATTTTCTATTATAGTCACTCCATAAATGTTTTAGTTCAGTTTGAAATTGAATTTGTTCAGTAATATATTGATGATGTTGATTTAAATGTGTGATGCATAACATTTTCTTGCAATGATGTAAACATGGATATAAAAGTGTTGATGCAGGACTAGATCCTTTTAAACAACATAAGCCATGTTGACATAGATCAGATACTTCAGGCATTTTTTTGTTTTATCTTCAAAGAAAAACAACACAAAAACAAAACAATTTTAATTCTCAATATATATACAACTTTATTTGCTTATGATAAAAACAAATGAAGTGGTTACGTAATGTATATCAAAATTGTACTTTTGTACTTCACCTGTAATATTTTATTGATCCATAGAAAAAACTCAACAGCTGTAGATTTGAAAAACTAATCTAAATTTACTAACAAGTGTTTTACCAAGAGTATCTATGTCTAAAAAATCTGGTTCATATTTATTGAAACTCAAGAACTACAACAAAGAATAAAAACTAAATCAATTTATATACGCTACGGATATGCAAAATATCATATTGAAACATAAATATAATATATATCGGCTTCTTATATGGGTGATGACTTGTTTTCGTTAACTCTTCTTATCAATAATGACTTTATTATTTGTTCTATTTATTCTTGTCTTGTTTGTTCTGTTTATGTAACAGAAAAGGGAGAAAAAAAACATTTTTCTCTCTTTCTTGCTGTTTTCTTTATGCATCTAAGACTACCAGAGGATGCAATCCAATTGAAGGTGTGGGTGTAGATGAGAGTGTTGATGCGTGTATGGGTGGGTATATGTGGGTGATGGTATACGTAGTACTGCACTTTACCCACACTTGTATTAATGATATTTATTGTATAATAAAAAATAACGTGAATAGCATGGTGGCGAAAAAAATCCTTTCGCCAAGTTTATATCGCTGTGCTTTCATCGTTACCTGTTATCAAACTTATTTTCTTATCTTTTCAACTGAATCTTAAACGTTTAGATAATGTTAACAGTGTGATAACGAAGTATTTCAGCAATTTATTATCATATTACTCATATGTGTAATACTCGAAATTTGAATTCAGCTATTCAACTATTCAAGAGGTTGTGATCGGTAGGCTTGAAACTGAGTTTGGGATGAGGGTGAGAGTGAGGGTGAGGATGTGGGTGTGTATGGCGGGAAAGGTAGGTCACTGCTTTATTTATATAACACCCGTACCCACACCCCCTATCCTTTCAGAAAATACTCGAATCCTGATCTGAGATATCCTAGCTGAAATTTTTCTATTCTATTTCTTTTTAACTGATTTTGTTAACTGAGTTTTTTTTGTTCTGATTCTATTAATATTATTCACTTTTATATTTTCATTTGTTTACTTGTTTTCCTAAAATTATTTTTTTTCCGTCTGTTTCTTATGGTTGTGGTGCTTTCTATAGTGCTTGGTTTCTTGATACTGTTCCTTATTGTACAAGTTTTCTGAATCTTTCGATTTCTTTAGATGTTCAATTTTTTCAGTCTTTGTTTTTTATCTTTTAAATTTGTCTATATTACTTTTTTATACTTCCTGGTCTTAAAATTTAAATTTTTCTATAATGCGCAGACCTGATGAGTGTTTTTATATTAATAAACAACACAAAACGCGTTGGAATATTCAACTATGCATTTTTTCAATTATTATATTTCTTTTTACTTCAGTAACAACATAATCGATTGCGAAAAAGCAAAATTTGAGAAGAGCAGATTGTATTTTTCTCTCTTTATACAATATAGGGCAATCTGTGTTTTAAACACCCACCCTGAATAATAATATCTAAAATCCTAACAATCATCATATGTTTTCGGTGTGCATATTTTATTAGAATTGAACGTTTTGAAAAAAATAAGCAAAATTTTTAAGAATATCGAAGAAGAAAGTTAAATAGTTGAATATATAAAGCAAAAAAAAGCTAACTTATGAAATAATGTCCGATGATGATAATGATAATGCTTGATTATATAGTTCGAGTTCCGGTGTGATGTGCTTCTGTGCCATGTATCCTAAAAAGAAAAATAGCAATCAGTTATCATCGACAAACTGTATTGATAAAACATACCTGCCTTAACCCCGACAATGACAACCACCAGGACCATTGGAATAACAACCATTAGCACAAGGAGCCTCAGGACAACAAGCATCATCAAAAATATCATAATCAAAACCAGCATTATCACAAGCAGAACAATCAGGAGGAGTAGTACTAGTAGTAGTTGTCGTAGTAGTAGGATTACAAGCAGGGCAAAGAAGAGCACAAAGACCAAAATCAAAATTACAACCAAGAAGAGCACAAATAGGACAAAGAATACGAGGATCACCGTTGTTGGTTAAATGGTCAGCAACATCATTGGGCTCCGCAGCTAGATTGACTCCCTCCTCCACTGTGCGTCCCGTGCAGCTTGTTGCCATCAAAACGAAGAAGACTGCTGAAAAAACCATTTGATTGATAATGTGCATTACCGTATGCTGTTGCTTCAATGTTTAAGGATTGAGTTGCTAATGAGCTGGAGCAGGTATGAAAATGGTATGATTCTGCAGTCGAGCTGATGCTTTATATATACTTTGGTGGTTCAGTAAGGACGAATCTTCGAGAAATAAATATTTCAACAATCAAAAGTGATTTACTGCAATATTGATAGTGCACGTGATGTTAGTATAAGTATTTCTTTATCAACAATCACATTCTTTTATTTTATTTTACATTATTTCACTTTGATTTATTACTCTATTTCGTTGCATTTTATTTTATTGCTATAATTTATTTCATCTTACTTTATTGCATTTTATTTTCACGAATCGACGATCTTGTTTCGATCTTTCGAGATTCTTATTTTTCTTGATTATCAGGTGACGGGCGTAGCTAAAGGGGGCACACGGCATCTGTGCACCCCCTTTGGTAGAAAAATATCTGAAGGAGGGTACTGATAAAGAACCTTGTCATAAGACAAAAAGTATTTGCTCGTTGGTGTGCACCCCCATGCAAAATTTCTGGCTACGCCCCTGTATCTGGCAAGATTCTTCTTCTATTCTTTCTGTACAAGATTGTTGCTTGAAAAATATGATTTTGCCTTTTAAACAAGATTCTTGCGTTCTTTCCTCCTTGTCCAGTTCTTGCTATGTCAAAAAAGCCTTATATCGGTTACTAGCAGGAGCGCCCGATATTTGCCGGAAAAATTTGATAGTACATATTCGGCAGATGAGAAAACGAGTGTAGGCGTAAGTGAGGGTTTAAAGTATGGGTACGATTGTTTTTCATCAACATGCACTGCCATTCATACCCTCACTCACTCATTCACTCATTCACTCTTATTCACCTATCCACCAACTTGCCCACTCACTCCGTCACCATCACCCGCTTCCTCGCCATCACGCTCCTCACCCTCATCCACTCGCTCGCTCCCTCATCCTCATCTTCACTCGCACTCAAGAGATTGGAAAAACACTCATATACGCATTCTTTTCCTTAGAATACGCTACAGAATTTTTGATATTCATAAACTGGGTGATACTTTACCCAACCGTCCTCCCTCCCCCTCTCGACCTTTCTTTGGACTAGGGAAGTACCATAGAAAGTTTGGTGATCGTTGCTAATATAGGGGCTGATCGCATAGCAAATGGATGGACAAACATTCTTCTTTATATATAGATTAATAATACCTTTTGCGAACGATTTTATTATCAAGTTTACGTACAATGTACAAAAACTGTAACACAAAAAGATAAAATGGGCATATAGATATTATTTATATTACTGAGAGCATTTTCAAATAATATGATTTTGAACGAATGATGATTTTTCTTTATCCATTCGAGTATACTTTTGTGGATGACAAAAGAAAATCTAAAAAATAAAAAGATATTGATCAGTCACATATCGAATGTGTTCGACAAGTCAAATTTTCGGAGAAATCAAAAAAAAAGAAGATCTTTATAATGAATATAAATATTTTCTATAGATTCAATGGGAATAAAGAATTGTTAGATATCGTTTGAACGCAACGACCGCTTAAGAAAAAGTATATGTTCGAAGTGTAACTGCTATTTAAAATATCATTACAATGAATAAATAATGATCAGACATCTATAGATATATATATATATGCTCAAACAAAAACTACATCACGTGTTGATGATCGTGGAAAGCTGACAAGAATCGTTTTCTTCCCTATCATAAGAATCTTGTCTTAATACTAAAAAATTCAAATTTTTTTATTTCTCTCTAGTTTCTTTATCTTCATGATGCTCATACAGAATTTTGTTGTTCTTGAACTTCAAGCAAGATTATTTTTAAAAGAAAAAAAAGATTCTTGTCTGAACTTTATATATATATTGAATATCTTATAGTTCTTGCCTGATTATTTCATTTCTGATTAGTCACACAAGAATCTTGAAGTCCAGACAAGATTCTTTTTACTTGCTTCTTGAAAAGAATCTTGTCTTAATACAGGAATCTTATTTGAAAGTAAAGAAAAACAAGAATCTAGAAAGATCGTTGACTAGATTTATGACTTTTTTTTATTTTAGCTTATTATATTTTATTGCACTGTGCTTTATTACTTTTTTATTTTATCTCCTTCGATTTTATTGCGTTTCATTTTATTATTTTCTTTTATTTTATCTCATTTCATTTTATTGTATTTTATTTTATTACTGTGATTTATTCCCTCGACTGTAGGGAGGATCATATGAAATAAAATGCGTTTGTATATATGTTGGTGTCTGGGTGAAAAAACAGCCGACGTGAAAAAGCACATAATACGTTATAAAACTTAACGAAAAAGGTTTTGGGATTAGAGACACCGAATCTGAGGTTTATTTAGTCAGACAACTCAGAAGTGAAGGTAATAGAAATCGAGTTTTGGAGAAAAAGCATTTCTGTTGATATTTTGATGTTGTATTTCTCGTAGAGAAGTATGCAGAAAGTCGAAATAGTTTCTTTTCTCATCTGTGTAAGTTTCCATACTGCACTTATTAGGTGGAGGTTTGTCTAAGAAAAAATTGATGTTAGAATCTGAAACATGACTCGATCTTCGTGTGCTACTGATTAGCATGCAAATGCGTATTGAGAGCGATGAAAAACACAGGGATTCTGTTTTCAATAAATGTGGAGAGATACCATTTGTATGAGACAGAAGTAAGCGAGTTAATACTCGAGCACTACTTGCGTCTTAAGTGTGGAACTTTCTCTGATATATGGAAGATCATACGAGAAAAAAGTATTTGTATCTACCTATTTATTTCTCTGTCTGTATACCAGCAATGGTCGGGTTTATTCGATGCCGAACTCCTGTATAGGGTGGCTAGAAGTTAGTAGTAGGGCATCGAGATTTAGCATTTTTGCTTTCAGTAAGTGATGGTTTCCTATAAAGTTTCATAAAAGGTTTTTTGTGATAAGAAATTTGAATCTAATACGTGCTGTTCTTTTCGCGTGCGACAGAAAGGCTTTGGATCGAAATACGACTTGACAGAAACGTGAATATTGATCTCACTGTTATCATAAGTAGGGATGTCCTACTTACGGGCCTAGCAGTTGCATTATTTGGTGTCACGATTTTATTCGAGTGCTTAATTTAGTTTTTCCATCATTTCTATCTAATTATTTGAAGAATTGGAAGAAGTCTCGATGCTCGGACCATTGAATACGACGCATGATTTTGTGCTGTTACCGTACTTGAGCGTGTGGAGTATGGGAATGGGTGTGCACTTTAAAAAAAGGCTGTGGGTGTGACTGTACTTATTATATTTATTTGTAATAAACACCCACACCCGCGCCCTCACCCATACCTTCACCCTAATCCTAGCGATTGATTCTCCACGGGATCACACGATGGTGAATGTCGAAGGAGACAGCCAAATTGAGAACACAGATCCCATTTCCGAGACGGACTGTTTTTTTAATTCTTTTTTTTCTCATTCTAAAGTTGCTTCAAATTCTCGTGTTGCTCCTGTTGAGCTCTCAGGGTATTCGTTAGATGACCCCTTGCCTTGGGATTAATGAACCAGCAATTGGAACGGACGCATACCTCTCCAAAAGCCAACTCGATGATGGACTTCTTTTGCTTGAAATTCGCTTGCCGATTTGATATCTAGAAGATAATGTATTAAAAATATCGTTTTATGATAGCTTGACGTTCGATTTTGTCCCAGAAATATATGACTCGCAAGTTGTGTATTCGTGAGGATTGTTTTTCGTCGAAAAACATGTAACGTCTGCAAACTAGTCAATCAACAATCGTTTTTTTCCTCATTCTGTCACATGTGTGGAGCAGAAAATATTGAAGTTTCGGGCAGTTAATGCATTTCGAGGATATAGGCGTACTTCATTCCTATTTGAAAGATGCATTTCTGCCTAATTTATTGTAGTCTGTTAACTGAGAGCGACTACCAGCACTTGTCTGCCATACAAAATAAAAGATGTGCATTGTGCAATCAATCGTTTTCATCCATCATGGTGTGGGTATATAGAGCATACATTCACACATACATCCTAAAGATAGGCTTTACGTCCGATGTCGTCATACTACTGCCTGTTGCCAATATAAAATGATAGTATTCTAGAAAATAGTATGATACGTTTCTGTTGTGCTCACACATACTTTTATTAGTTTACGGAATATCGCAAAGAAAAGGGCTCAAAAATGTATTCACTGTATTCTTTTAGAAAGTTCAGAATGATTTTGGTTCAGGCACAATCTGTAACTTGCATTTGCTAATGGATAAACTCTTCGTCTGATAAATTTTGGTTGGGATCATGACGGTGTTCATACGTCTTCTTCTTTTTTGTATTTTTGTTCGAACACCATTCATGGTCGTTCTGCTTCTTTCTTTCGTACTTGGTCAGCTTTGTCCCAGGTAATTCGTCTGATGAGATGGCCTTTGAAAAAAATGGTTCGTCTGTATCACCCGGCGTCTGCTCGTCATAAACTGCACGCCATCGGCAAATTTCATCATGAAGTAGAGCAGCATCAAGTTGACGATGGTCTTTGTATAATTTCTTAGAATTTTTCATGGGAACAGATCGGTTTGATCTACAGTTGGTCGAAAACATACTGGTTATATTAACGCGATAATCAAGATGGTTTTTTATAACTCGAACATGTTTTTCTACCTGGTCTAACTGGAGACAGTATAAAGTTACTTATATTTAACTAGTCAAATATTTGTGTCAGATAGAATTGACTCCTAGGCAAAACTAACAAACTATAAATTGAAACTGAATTGATCTGTTGTAGTTCAAAGTTACTTAGTCAAAAATAGTCAAACAAGAACTAGTAAGAAAATAATCAAGAACTTGAGGTTTTGGGTGTGGATGTGAGTGTAAAAGCATATAACTAATAAGCTTCACACTCATACCCACACCGTACAAAGTACAAGATAGGATACTAGTCGTTCACAGTTAGTATCAGAAAGGGGAGTGTCAAAGAATAGTATATTTCGAAATGAAGTTGAGTGACTCTTTGTTAGAATGAGCAACAGCAATAAGATTCAGACTCAGGATGATGTTCAACTAGTTAACACTGAAACTTTTGTTCGCTCGTATACATGGGGTAAATTTCGTCTAGTTTTACTTCTGATTTGGAATAAAAATTTAGTCGTTCTTACTTAATGCTTACCTAAATAATTCCACTGATTCATATGTAGGCACAATATGAATGCTAGCGTGACTACGCCAACGCTCACTACTATCAGGTAGAATTTGCCATTTACCAAAATTCACATGCAGCCGCTGTAGTGCTGAATAACCACCAAGTTGCTCTAGTATTTCAAATACTGCCATCCAAGCATCCGGATCTCGTGCGTATTGATCATTGGATAGGTGTTGCTGAGGACTTAGGGCGATGACGTTGTTGTCGAGAAGCATCGCATCATGCACATTTCGATAGTTTCTGAGAATACAATACGACTCGAATACAGAATAACTACATTCAGTACATTTACACAAAGGTTTCGTATATACCGAAGAATCAGAGATACGCGATGTACGTCGGGCAATTATTTTCACTCGGTCTGTATTCTTACACCGAGCAACATATTCTTCACCTTTTATGATATGATCAGGTATATCAATGTTTAGTTGAAACCAAGCGACTGGGTCCATACGCAGAAACAGACTGTGCTTCGACTTATCACTTCCCACCGGGCGCAACTCAATTTGATAGGCATCGGGACGTTGATATTGGACTTTGTCAAGTAGCTTACCACATTCATCTGCTAGTAGTTTGGCTTGTGTACGAACAGAGATATCGGATGCGAGCTTGAATTCGTATTCGCTGTATAGTTCGGGTCCTGCAATAGATATATATCTCATACTAAATCCGTACTAGACAAAAGTATCATATAAAAATACGAGATTGCTAGAGATTAGGGAGCTCGAGATGACGATCATGTTGATAAATAGTAAAAAACACTATGAAAAGACTACTATGTCATTACTGTCGTGATCGAAGCGCGGGTATGACTAATTGAGTGGTTCATATGACTGTTATGATCAGAAAAATAAAGAAAGGCTGATATCGGTCTATCGGTTTGAGTATTTAGGCTTATACCGTAACCACTACGAAAAAAGATACTACTAGTTTAAGCTCTGATTCCAGCTCAACCTGGAACATGCAACGCTATTAACGAATGCTTAAAAATCAAGTTCTTATTAAATCTATGTTGCTATACAGATTTTACTGACTCGAAATCCGATTTATTTTCAGATTCATGTGTCGCTATCTGCCGAGCTATCTACTGACCCACGTTCAGTTTGAAAGAAATCGTATATTATGATACTCAAAGGGAACTAAAATCAAGCTTAACTGGAAAATATATACCTTTTGCAAAACGGCGAGCCATGAGATTCCAACTATAAATGTAGAAATGCGTCGATCGTCTGTACAAGACAAACTGTTTTTCGATGTTAAAAAGTAAAGAAAGAGCAGTTCTGTATTTTTCTCGAAAAATAAACTTTTCTTTTGCGACTGTCTTCTCTCTGTTGTTCGTGTTGTTAGGTAACCCATTCTCTTGCGGCCATCAGAGAATACAAAAGAAAATGTTCTATGCCGCCTGTGGATGTTAAGAGAGTGCTGTGAAAGACATTTTTATTTCATTCTCTCATTTCATTTTATTTTAACAATGTTGAACTGATGTGCTTTCTAACAAGAATATGCTTTTAGTTTATGTCACAGAAATATTTCTTTTTCTTTTCATCATGTCTAACTCTTACCGTATGTTACATTATAAGGGGTGGATGAGAGTTTAAGTCTGTTCTCTTAATCATCTATACATCCAGCCCACCCCACACCCTAAGAAGTTCAAGAAATCAAGAGTCAGGCAAGAATACCATAAGAATATTCACATCTGGTTTTTCAAGCAAGAATCTTGACTAATAACTAAGAAAATCAAGAATCTGGAAAGAGAAGAGGCAAGATCGTCGATCAGTGTAAAACAAAACACATATAAAGTATATGAACAATCGATACAAAATATTGGTACTATAATGAACATTTATTTTGATATTCTAAATTAGATACAATTTGTAACATTTCTACCTGTAATATTGCTTTTTTTGTCAAAAATTAGTTTACGTTATATTTTCAAATTTCTGTATTGTATAACAAATATTTTTTTAAATAATCGTATTTATTAAAGATTCCATATCTAAAACTTCATTGATTATACCTAAGAATACAATGTTCACGTCTAGTATAAACTATTTTATGTCGTTTAAATAGTCGTAATGATAACGCTAGTTAAAGTTGTTATGACAACGCTACTATTTTGTCGATGATATCATTGTCTTTTCATTATTTTTGTTTCAATAACCAATTGTACTATTATGCGATATATGTGACGCGAAACAAAAATATCAACTCATGGAATGATAAGAAAAAAACAACAGCAGCGTGTCATACAACGATTGGATGTAAAAACACCGAAAGAAAAAAAGTCGTTGCAGAAAAGGTCGAAAAAAAATGTCGAAAATTTCTAGATGTTATCATCAAATTATTGATTTTCTTGTCTTCATATTATTCACTAAACTTTTACTGATTATTAAATCATTTGTACAATAAATTATTGTGTAAACGAATGCTCTAGAACGATGAGAAACTGAGATAACAAAGGTGTGGGTGTTGTATTCTTCAGCCACCCATACCCTCAAATTTTTTCTGTCAGACAAAAAATTTGAAATCTTATTCTTTTGACGCTGTTTTACTTCGACATTTTTGTTTGACCTCTATATTTCGACGTTTATGGCGTCGACATTTTTTCTCTTGGTCTTTTTACAGCGTACCTCTAAAACCCACATATAAAGCTACATAAGACACATTTCAGCTACAATCTAACATGTGTAATGAAAGTATCGCCAACTTTTATACGTTACCGGTAGAACTTGTCTATCGAATTTTAGACTATCAAGACAATTTAACAATTCTATGTTCAATGAGAAATGTGTGTCAACGGTTCAACACAATCATTAACAGTTATCATCGATATCAGGTAAACTTTCACATATTGACTCTAGTTATTGTTTTTATTTCTATAGTCTATAGTCAAGTAGAATAACTTCAATAAAATATACGTCGATTAACTATTTCCCACCTAAGTCAATTCATCGGTTATTAATCCCTCTCGACTAAAAACAATATTCTAACAATCATAGAAAATTGTCCCTTTTTTTCTTTCGTTTTAGTCCTATCTAAGTATTTTATGTTTTAAGCTGGTATCATATCATAAATATATAATATTTAGATAAGAACGAAAAAATGAGAAAAGATAGTATTATTTATTTTTCTATATGTATCTTAACATTTTTTTATACTATTAAAGTTCCATGATAAATATTCCCGATAACTGTTCATTCGAGAGCATGCGGAGTGCGAATATAGGTGAATATGTAAATAGCCGTAGACATATGAATGGAGATGGAGAGAAGACTGACTGAAAACAACATTTAAATGGATAACATAAAAGTAGAGCATGTGTTAGATAGTCATGTGTTCTCTCTCTCTCTCTCTTGTGATTCTTGGTGTTTTCCCTTGTGATGTGTGATGGATTTTTCCTCTTCT